AGCCCCGAGTGACTCCTTTCTCGGCGGGGCGGGGCGCACGTGGCGAGGCAAGAAGCGGCGCAACTGCGGCAGGGGCCCCTCCCCGACGCACGGCCACCTTTGCGGCTGCAAAAAGGGGCGGNGATGGGTAACGAGCATTCCCCCAAGCCACCAACTCCTGGCTGCCATCATGGGGGGGGCACTTACTTCCGGGAAGCCAAAAGGCAGTAGCTCGGATTGAAGAAACGGAGGGGATCTCATCTGACACCCACCCCGGGTTCAAGCCCCGAGTGACTCCTTTCTCGGCGGGGCGGGGCGCCCGGGGCGAGGCAAAAAGCGGGGCAAACGACACCTTTGCGGCTGCAAAAAGGGGCGGGTGCGGAAGGGAAGAAACAAAAGGATTGCGGGAGGGGGGAGAGAGAGAGGACGACCAAGGGCGCGGTTTCTGCCACTGTCGAGGGATGCGGAAGCCCAATGCAGCAGCAGCAGCAGCGTCGTCCCCTTCCCTCCCCACCCCTTCTAGTTCCACCGACTAGCTCCACATTCTCTTCCCGGTGGGAGCCGAGAACAAAGACTTTCTTCTCCCGGCTGGAAAAGAAAGAAACAAGGCCCAAGACGCAAGTGCTAAATTCCCAGGCAGCGAGCCTTGGGGTCAAGGCCAGATTCGTAGCGGAGCAAGCCAGGAGGAAAAGGGAGATAGTTCTCCCTCCCTCCCTCGCCTCTTGCTCGCAGGGTGTCCTTGACGAAGAAGGCAGAAAAAACCAAAAAACCGCCTAGGACTGGCGGACAAGGAAGGAGAGGCGAAAGAGGATCCAGGAATGGATCAGAAATAGAAACCTCGGAACAGAAGGTTTCCATTGGGGGGGGGAGGCTAGTCCTTTTTTGTTAAGGTTCCCCCCCCCCATAGGAAAAAAAGTGCTCTGTTGTCAGCGCTGCTCTTTTGTCACGGCTCTCTGCTCTTCACAGACAACGACGGCTATTTGTCTTTGTTGTGATGATGATTTTATTATTACTTTCCCGGCGCCCTTCCTTATCAGCAAGCCAAGCTTTCCTGGCCAAAACGTCAGGAAGAACCACCTTTCAGAACACGGCCAAAGAGCCCGAGAAACCCACAACAACCATCAGGACCCGATTCACTTCTGAAAATGAGGCTGTTCTT